GACACCTGGTATTCCCCCCAGAAGTTCACAACCACCTCCGATTAGCACGGTTGACTGCGTACCAGTGCCGGAGCCAGAGGGGGGGGGGGGGGGCTGGGGGGGGGCTCAGCCCCCCCTGAAATTTTAGGAAAGTCGATAATCGGGACGACCGGATATCCGGCTGCTGCAAAATGCTGGCTGCCACCTTGTGCTGCATTGCAGGCTGCCACCTTGTGTGCTGCCCTGCAGGCTGCCACCTTGTGCTGCCCTGCAGGCTGCCACCTTGTGTGCTGCCCTGCAGGCTGCCACCTTGTGCTTCCCTGCAGGCTGCCACCTTGTGCTTCCCTGCAGGCTGCCACCTTGTGCTTCCCTGCAGGCTGCCACCTTGTGTGCTGCCCTGCAGGCTACCACCTTGTGCTGCCCTGCAGGCTGCTTGAGCGGCAGCCTTTCGAACTTATCGAACTTATTAGCCACATCAGCGGCTCCGACCTATTAATAAACTCCGCGTTCAAATCCAATAAAATTTGTTTTATACGTTTGTGGCGCCCATTGGAAAACATAAACACTGGATATCTCAGAATATTGAAGTCAGCCCCCCCAAAGTCAAAATCCTGGCTCCGCCCCTGCTATGTACGCTGCGAAAAACGTTCAATATACATCATGCATACATCCCCATAATACCGACGACCAGCCTCAAAACCCTGCTTAGCTCCCAAACTCTGACCAGGTTGGGCACATTCATGGTCGATTTTGTCCCAGACAGCACAACTCCTGATATGGAGCGAAATGCACATTCGTGGAGAAAGTATTATAATATATATTTTAAATCGGTTAATACATTTTCTGATCAAACAACGTGCATTGGTCAGGGTGAAAACCGAAATTGGAATCGCAGTGTACGTGGCTGCTGTGCCCCTCTAGCCCCCCCACCACCACCTCACTAAAACAAAGTCAGCAAACAAGGAAGACAAGCAAATGTTCTCTCCGCCAACCAAAACAAACACCGCGCTTCCTTTCAACTTATTTTTATAAGGCTCCCTGTCGATCACTGAAGCGGAACATATCTCTCTTACTCAATGTGCCCGTGCACAAAGTCGCACGTGCATATCCACCGAGGTTTAATATTGGTACTCTGTTAACAACGCTGTTTGGCCCTCCCGGGGAAAGCCTCGGCGAGTCTCATGGCGATGAGGCTCGCCGAGGAGGGCCCCTACGCTGGGAATGTTTGGCCAAAGGCCCTATTGGTTGCCGATGACATGTCAAGGGTTGAGGTCACTCACACCTCAACGACTCTCTGCGCGTCCTGCGTGTATCGCCACCAACATTTTAAGGCATTTAAAAACAAAGTAAAAAAAAATAATTTCCAACTTGCAACTTGAGAAACGACGAATGAGAACAGAGTTTAGTAAATTAAAAAAAAATCCACGGACGGGGATTAGCCTCGTAAACAATTTCAGTCCCCGGCTTATTTTAAACTTGGTCATAGGTTGTACGTAAGTCATCACCGTTTGCGTAGATCCCTGCCCGATTCCTTCCGGTCAGATTGAGTGCTCGCTTGTCTTTGTACAGTGATCATTACTCCAGTCAGCACTGTAAGCCGACAGAGTCACACAGAGGGGTAAGCGAATTGAACACCGAGGGCTATCGTGACCAGTACGAGTCATCATTGGATTTTGGGCTAAATCGCGTGTGTCACAAAGATGACAAACGCTGTTCCTAAACTACGAGCGAAACGTCGTTCCCAATCGTTAACAGCTCGTGGATCGCTCTCCAATACCACCGGATGTGCTGCTGCCGAAGCAGCGGTAAAGTGCAACGTTGGTTCATCACGTGGCGACATTAATTGGCCGCGTCGGGTGGAGGAGGGCTTCACGACACACCACCTTTTTATTTAAGCTGATCTGACTCGGACATGAATTACGAATAAGGCCCAAGTGAAAGCTTCTTAGAACGTGCTCTCTTGTTGCCTTGCGTGGTTGGGAGGAGTGGCGGAACGAGCTCCACCCCCCCGCTGAAAAACCTCGCTTAGCGAGGTCGCCGCAATAGACGCACTCTGCCAGCAACCAACTCCCTCTCTGTGCTTCAAGTCGAAAGTTTCAGATTCCATTATGTTTAAAAAAATATTTAAAAAAAACCGTGAGAAATCAAGGGACCAAGACGAGTGGCATTTTGCTCAAGAGTTGCTCGGGTCACCGAATGACAAACGCAAAACAACTGAAATGTAACAAACCTAAAAATGGGAAGAAAAACAACTGCCATCACATGGGAAATCAAAACGAGTATTGCGCTTCACGTCGCTCGGCCTGGAGGGTTGAAGAGGCTCCGGAGTGATTTATTTGTCGTTTTAGAAATGCGATGCAGGTTTTTTTTTTACGTGTGGCCTTTGAGCCAACCCGCCGTGAATCATTAAAATGCAAGAGTCATTGGAGGAACTATTAATTTCCTTAAAAAAAAGTTTCCACCAACCCGAATGTGAACATGGGATTGGCAATCAAATCTCGTCGGAGAAATTCGGTCAAACGATATTTTTAATCCTTCAAAGTACCTTTGGCTACAAAAACACGCAGTGTGGATATATTTATTTAAAACATAAGTTAAGGCTCAACTGGCTGCGTGACTTACAGCGAAGTTTTTTTTTATAATGTATTTACGTGAATTGGTGAGTGCAATCACGCCTATAAAGCTGCTGCTCACAAGCTACAAGCCACACAAATTACTGAGCCATTTTTCTACTCAAGTTATGTAAAATCCAACGTGAAAATAAACGCACGGAGACATCGAGAGACAGAGAGAGAGAGACTCGGGGTGCGTTGAATGGAATCGCGAGCTTGTGGGCAAGGCTTGCCCCGAGTCAAGAACCGCACCCTTGCAATAACTCGTTTGACGACATTGTAGAGAGGCAATCACCCTCGCCCCAAACAGCCCCACAACACCCCCACAACAGCCTCCACACATCCACCCACCAAGTCCAGCCTCAACACCACGAGCAAGCGATCCGAGAGGCACGCACACCGCAACAGCACGGCATGACACACCAAACACAAAGATACCCCCCCCCCCCGCCGTGTAGCCTGAACAGACTGTAGGGGCAAGTGCTGTTAGCGAGCAGCACCTGTGAAGGCCGGCACTGTGGCACACGAGGGGGTGGGGTGGCCAGCACCACACCCGTCCACCTTTGTCTCCCTAGTGGCGATGTTTACATACCGCACCAGGTGTTAATTTGAGGCCGAGTAGACCTAGGGGAGGAGGCCCAGGACAAATTCAGATAAGCGTCACTTGCATTGGCCATGAGCGGGAATCGAACTCGGGTCGCCAGGTTCGTGTGTTAATCACTACACTGCCACTCCCTGACACACACGCACGCACACTCTCTGCACACACTCACCGTCCCGCACGAGCGTGGACACACACACACACACTCTCTGCATGCACGCACACACACGCATACACCCTGCCCCAGCACATACAAACAGCCTCCCTGTATGTCCGCACGAAAGCACACGCGCGCACACACACACACTCACCCCGTCTAATAGGCTGCTAGGGCAAGTGCTGATTAGCGAGCACCTATTAAAAGGTGGTCGTGGTTACAACACCACGAATGCACGCCTGGCCACCTTTTTGTCCCGGCAGCACAGATAGTCCTTCGCGTGACCTACTCGCTGTGCTGCACTGCCCTTGCCTACTCCCGGCAGGTTGGGCCCCCTTTACTGCCTCAGGAGCGACGACAGGAAGTGACCCGGATCTTTTGATTGGCAGGCAGGAAAGGCAGAGCCGTGGGGTGCGAGGATCTCTGGGATTGGAGTTGACAGGTTGTGATTTGGAAAAACACGAGCAACGTTGTGCCCGTGGCAGACAACCCGCGGGAAGGGGAGTAGCGTCAAGGATGTAACACGCGCGGAGAGAGTCAATTTGAGTGAGAAGAGAATGCAATGTAAAATAACCGGAAGAGGAACGGCGAAATGGGAGCGAAGGTTCGGGAAAGGTGAGGATTGGGGAGGGAGAGACAAAACGAGGGCCTCAAAGCTGCCGCTGCACGGGGAAGCGGCGGAATCTGTTCTCACAGTGGGCGGTGACAGGGGGAGGAGTTCAGAGTAGGCGTGGCCACGCACGAGTCTCGTGATTTATGGGAAGGGGCTTGAGCTGATTTACATGTTTTTGAAATATATTTCACCATCTGCATTCTGAGAGCGAGGTTACATTTTGCATATTTTAATATGCATGCAAATAAGCTTTGGTTAAAAATAAATAATTTCGATCGTATTCCAACTGTGCCGTTGGCACTGTGAGATGAAGGTTCCATTCACTTGTGAGCAGTGCATCACCCTGCGTTTGGAACAGCTACTGGAAGGACACATCACTCAACTGTTTCTATAAATTATTTTATTTTACCAGGTAAGCCCCATGGAGCTATGTAGCTCTTTTTCAGAAGTGACCCGGTTACAAATGATAATTCAACGAAGTGGCTTATCACGTGAACATTCATAGCACCCAAATACTCTAAGCACATGTTTCTGAATGTGGAAGGGAAATACCGGAGAACCCGGAGAAAAATTCACGAGACCACGGGGAGAACATGTAAACTCCAAATATACAGCAGGCGTCAAGGGTCGGGATCGAACCCACGACCTCATGTATACCAGGCGAAGTAGTTAACATCTCGCACTAACAGATACTGCACTCTACCACGGACCCTGCTACAGAAATGTTCATGGCATGATGGTCGATAAACCGAACTTTAGCATCTTCGGAGTCGATAAAACAACGACCACTATGCGTGGAAGTCAACAGTGGTTGTCTTATGGAATTGACTCCCTCCGTCATAGGAATGTGGAGTTTCCTACCACTGGCTCTAAACGAGAGAAGAGCACCAACGCCTCAACGTTCATTTGAGTGGGAAAATCGCTCCGACTGACGTTTTTGCAACGGGGGAGACTTGGGGGTAAGGATGGCGTCGGTGTCTTTGTGTGTGACCCCTTGACCTTGTGACCGACCCAACAAACCCTTGACCCTTGCCTCACCTTGGCCTCCTCGTTCACGTCCCAGGTGAAGGAGATGGCATTGTATGCAATCTCCTCGATGTTGCTGATGGTGTTGAAGCTCTCTTTGTAGTCAGCTGTTAGATGCACAAAGACAAAGGCACACAAGTAAAGACACACATAAGCACATAGCAACACACGGTGGTGAGCTAGTAACTACCTCGCCTGATATACACGAAGCTGTGGGTTCGATCCCGACCCTGACGCCTTCACATTTGGAGTGTGCATGTTCTCCCCGTGGTCGTGTGACTTATTCACCGGGTGCTCCGGTTTTTCCCTCCACATTTAGATTCAACATGCGTTTAGAGTATTCGGCTACTATACATTTCCACATGATAAGCCATTTCGTTGAGTTATCATTGCGACCAGGTCACTTCTGAAAAAGAGCCACGTAGCTCAGTGGGGCCTTACCTGGTAAAATAAAAAAAATTGTTGAGTCGATTAACATTTTCAAAAGACAGTGATCCCCGTTGGGGCAAATGCTGTTAGTGAGCACCTATGAAGGCCGAAACAGCATACAAGGGGGTGGGGGGGTGGCCAGCACCCTGCCCGGCCGCCTTTGTCTTCCCAGTGTTGATGTTTACACACCACAACAGGTACTTGTTTAAGGCTGAGTCGACCTAGGGGAGGCCCAGGACCAATTCAGATATTCGTCACTGATGTTGGCCGTGACCGGGAATTGAACTCGGGACGCCGGGTTCGTAGCGCAGCGTGCCGGACCACTACACTGCTGCTCACCACTACATGAACCCTCACACATGCACAGATGTACAAGTAGACACACATGCATACATGTGCACAGACACACACACACACAAACGCACTAGACGTTGACATTTGAACCAACGAAACGCAAGTTAACACAGGTTGCTCAATTAAATGGTGACTTTGCCAATTATCTGGTCAAATCATTAGGTATCTTAGCACAGTACTGACCAATGTATTGAGACAGCCAGATAGAGCTGGCTTTATAGTTAGCAGTGCAATCTCACAGGTCTGTAGAGAACTAGTATACCCAAATAAACTTTCAATGAACAGACGTGATTAGATGTCGTGGAAGATACCCAGACAGCCAAACACGTTGCCAGATGTAAAACAAGGCGTGTATTTTCATGCAGTCAGACATACCGACAGGACGTGGAGTAAGACAGCCAGCCACGATCGAACCCATGAGTAAGATGCCCTCATGAGGTGGGGATCGATCATGGGGGTCTTTAAACCGAACAACCAGATAGCCTAACAGCCAGATTGACGCACGTAGCTACGCCTGCCAAACAGTCTCACAGATCTCCCAACATATTAAACCAGCCAGATAGAATAACGCACTGATCGTAGGCATAGAATGATGATGATGCATCCGTTCGTTCATCGATTAAAATCTATTCTTACGCTCTTGATACGTGCGTTGAATTGTCCTTGTCAAGGATCTATTACTAAGTCGACAAATTATAGGAACATTTATATCCAGGCTAGTGGAGGGGAAGCAAACTGGACGAGTAAGAAATAAATGGACAATACAAACGCGGCAGCACCAACGAGATGAAAGAAGTGAATTGAACTTGCAACCCCTGACCTTGACAATTCCCCATACTGGCAGTCCTCGACTTACGAACGCGTTCCGTTCCTGAGCCCCATTGGTAAGTCCGGTTGGTAAGTCGAACGATTCGTAAATCGCAACACAATAATGCACTGCATTTAAATGCACGTACGGTCAGTTTTAGAAAATGTGTTTACGGTTCAAGAACAAAGGGAAGCATTGTTTAAAAACATAAATGAGAAGAAATATTGTACATTTGCATGTAATGCTGTAATAAATACTGTACAGTAAATTAAACATGAAATAAAGTAACATGGATAGAAAAATAAAAATCTGTTTTATTTTAACTTACCTTGAGTCCCGATGCTGGCTTGCTTGTCAGAAGGGGCGTTATGAGTCCCCACAATTGCACGCACGCACACACACACACAGACACACACTAATGACATCGATCCCCTCCCCCCCCCCGTATAGCCTTAACAAACTTTTAGGACAAGTGCTATGAAGGCTGGCACGGCACACGAGGGGGCGTGGGTGGTCAGCACCACGCCCGGCCGCCTTTGTCTCCCAAGTGGCAAAGTTTACACACTGCACTCGGTACTCATTTTAGGCTCAGTCGACCATGGGGAGGACCAGGACCAGTTCAGATGACCGTCACAGGTGTTGGCCGTGAGCGGGAATTAAACTGGTGTCGCCGGGTCCGTAGTGCAACGCGCTAACCGCTACATTACCGCTCCCCAAAAACACACACACACGGGGGCATGCACGCACACACACGCGCATACTCACTTTCACACACACACTCACTCACTGCACGAGGCTGATCGCTCCGCTGAACGAAATAGTCCCACGGTTCAGTTTGGAAGTGCGAGTTCGCATTTTAAGTTGATGTAAACAAACATTTCATGGAAGCTGGTTCGTAAGTGCGGGTGTTCGTAAGTCAGATGTTCGCAAGTCGAGGACAACCTGTATATCATATTCCAAGAATTGGGTAAATAACAACCACACAGCCAGTGATAGAGGACTACCTGACCATTTTGCTCAATAACTAGCAAGACCTCAGGGTAATAAATAAAAGCCAGCCAACTAGATACCTATGAAGATAAGCAAGACAGATTAATTGACCAGTAGTGCTCTAAGATCCAGCCTGGTCTAGAGTCATGCTAACCGAATGGGGCGGATGTCCAGTCAGACACAGCGTATAATTAAGGAGTGGGTGTTTTGTGTGTTTTGCGTGTGTGTGTGTGTTTGCTCTACAATCCCAGTGACCAGGGTTCAATTCCCGGTCATGCACAACATTAAAAGTGTCATGCGATCACTTCGGCCTCAAACGAATACCTGCTGCAGTGCGTGTGAACGTCAGCACGGGGGAGACAAAGGTGGCTATGTGTGGTGTTGTCCACAGCACCATCCCCCCTCCACAACTTTGAGAGACGGTGTGGCAGTCTCCCCACCCCACCTCCCCCCACCCCATAAACAAGATTTTTTTTAAATATTACAATTTTCCCAGGTAAGGCCCATTTTGAGCTATTTGTCTCTTTTTCAGAAGCGGCCTGGCCACAAATGATAACTCAACGAAGTGGCTTTTCTCGTGGAAATTTACAGCAGCCAAATACTCGCAAACACGTGCTTCTAAACGTAGAGGTGAAACCCAGAGGAATCGGAGAAAAATCCACGTGACCACGGCGAGAACACGCAAACTCCAAATATTGAGCAGGCGTCAGGGTCGGGATCAAACCCACGGCCTCCTGTATACCAGGCGAGGTAGTTAACATCTCCTAGCCACCGTGGCATCCCTTACAAGCAGACTGACGTTTTAGGCAATGGCACCTTTTTTTCTGAGCAGTTTCGCTTGAAGACTGGAAACTTGTACCGTGATGTCAATTCATGTAGGCACGCATGTTTCACTTGTGTTTAACTGGCGGTCTACTAATGCGTCAATTGAAAACGGCTCGTTTGTCAACTCCCTTAAAATACCCCGACAGTCTGCTCAAAGCCCCGGAGTGCAAAGTTCGATCTCCAGTCGGCCAAGTCAACTTCGTTCTGAAGGAGAAGGGCACTTTTTTGTTCACGTAGTTGGAAAATACTTTCATTCTATTTAGCGACATTCAAGCTAAGTAGAATTGCATCCCAAAACGCTGCATGTACCAGTGGACTTCCCATTTGGTACAGATACACACAGAGGCTAAGCAATGTCCAGCTGCGGTCAAGGGATTGCTCCCCATCGGCCAATACGTATGCTGATGATACGGTGAAATTGCCTCGCTCTTGGAGTAGTTGGAAACTCTGCTGCTGAACCTGGAGCAGATTCATACCATCAGCTCCACTAAAACAAAGCACTTGCCTGGGTAGTTTATGTCATCAAACACCCCGCCCTCTCAACTCTCCATGAGTAATGTGGCAGTTGCGGAGAAAATAGAGGCGTGTCCATACTTGGGCAGTGTGCTCATGACCAGATCCAGTTTGGCAGTGGAGGTTTCACTTTGAATCAGTTGAGTGGCATTGTCTTTTCATTGGCTGCATAACTGTATTTGGAAGCTGCTCAGCCTGTCACTCCATATGAAGCTCCAGGTCTTCCCTGCAACATTCATGCCCTCTCTTCTCCATGCTTGCAAAACGGAGGCCTCGTTACAGAAATATCTATGCTCGTTTGAAACATTCAGGTTGGCCTGGGTTTATAACTGGTCAGATTGTGTGAGGAGCTCACGGATCCTTGAAAGATCTAGACACAGTCCCATCAGTGTGCTTCTCTGGCAGGCAATGCTGCATTGGCTGGGTCATGTAGCCCACATGCCCAGCCATCGCATGCCCAATCATGTTTGGCTGAATAGGAATAGAGTCGGCTAAACGGGCACGGCACGGGCTAGAGAGGAGATGGGCTGTGGTACAGGAGGATTTGGAGCCGACTCGACTTGCAGGTGACCGGTATCAGTAGTGTCAAGATCGGCAGTTGGAAGCAGTCGCCCTCCAACAACAATAGAGGGTGGAGGGGCGATGCTCACAATGAGCGGAGCGCCAGGTGGACAAAGCACAGAAGGTTGGCGCGATAGGGAGCACAGTTGGTGCATCTGCCAGTCATCTCAGTCAGTCAACCCATAAAAGCTGGGTCTGTCCCGTGACCTCTTGCCAGCATACGACAATTCACGTAGCCTCAAATTTTCACCTAGCCTGGCACAAGCGCCGTGGTGATGTCACCACCAACTTGGTGGAAAAATGGGGATTGTTGTTATTGTCCCTGTGTGTGTGTGTTTCCGTGTGTACTTCCGTGTGTGCTTCCGTGTGTTTTCCACACACGTGAGTGTCCCTCTGTGTGTGTGTGTAACAAGAGGCTAACATTGACAACCTGCAGTGTGCACACACAGCGCTGAGTGTAAACACTCGCGGCCAGGCAGCCGCACGCCACCAACAGCAGCTCCGCGCGTGCACGACGATGGAATCTCTACGATAGTAGTGTGTGCGAGAACATGTGTGTGTACATGTGTTTGGTGTAGGAAGCGGTGGTGCAGCGGTTAGCGCACTGCGTTACAAACCCGGCGACTCGAGTTCGATGCTCACTCACGGCCAACACCACAGTGAAGATTTATTCGAACCGGTCCTGGGCCTCCCCTAGGTCGACTCGGCCTCAGACGAGTATCTGGTGCGGTGTGTGAACATCGCTTCTTGAGAAACAAAGGCGGCCGGGCGTGGTGCTGGCCACCCACCCCCTCGTGTGCCGTGTCGGCCTTCAACGGTGCTCGCTCACAGCACTTGCCCCAAATGTCTGCTAAGGCTATAAAGGGGATCTGTGTTATTGTTTATGTACCCAGCATTATCCTTCACCACTTTGCGTTTGTTAACTCTTCACCGTTGCTGTTCATGGGACGGTGGCTTACACAATATGTTGTGAACCCGGAGTTTCAGTCCTGGCATTGGCGAACATCAGTGGCAAGTGGTTTCACTGCTAATGGCTTTCTCTAGGCCGATTCAGCCTCAAATGGGTACCATGTTTTTGGTGTGAACATCAGCAACAGGCGGCTACGGCTTGAGCCACAACACCACCCCCTCGTGCACCATGCTAACCTTGATTGGTGCTCGCATAACAGCGCTTTGTCCCCTTCGTCTGTAACAGCGGTGGCCAAATGGCGTCTCCCGGGCCACATGCGGCTCTTTGATCCACCACACACGTGGTTCTATCGAAGGGACGTAACGTAGAATGTACCTCTTCTTTGTTTTTTTCGGTAAAGTCACGTAGAATGATAATAAAATAATAAAATAACACAATAAAATTCTCACGACGTTTCGGCCACAACACAAGTGGCCTTCTTCAGGTGAAAGGAACAAACCTGTTGGGACGACAGACCTTCAATGAAGTAGAATGTACCATCGCAGTAGCAAAGAAAAATGAATGTCTCTCATGCTGCGCCGAAACATGTCAATATGAATATACATTTATAGTAACACTTGGCTCCTGGCAGAACTCACGGGGTACGCTTTGTCTCTTGTGTCTGTTACAGGTTGGCCACCCCTAGTCTATAAAAGAGAAACGGAGGACCTTTGTATGTGTGTGTGTGCCTGCACACTATGCGCTCCACATGGAGAGTAGCAGTGTGGTGTTTACTGCAGTGCGAACCTCAAAATCGAGGTGCGATTCCTGGCGATGACAGCAACATCTACGCCAAGTGATTTATGAACGTGGCCCGCTGGGTCTCCCCCTGGTTGACTCGGCCCCACAAGAGCACAGCTTGCAGTGCAATGGCAGAGTGAAAAGCAGAGAGCGCACACTCTGATCACAGCACTCTCCCTACTCCCAAGCCTTGTGGCGGTGAGGCCGAGAGCACTTGACCCCCCCCCCCCCCCCACAGTCAGAAGGTCGTAAGTTCAAATCCCAATCAGGGGTCGGACTCGGCCCCATCGCCATTCTTTCAAAGTCAACAATCTCAGTAGCCGCCTTGTGAGAAGTCAACAGTGACTGATTACTGTTTAGACTAGGCCCTGCCATAGGCATGTGGAGATGAGCACGGTCCCGAGCTCGCCTGACTGGCATTGGCGAACAAACAGCGATTGCGTAAGCCAGCTGCTGGCGGTTGCGGGACTCGTGTTCACGTGCGGGTTTAATTTTACTGGCGCCGGTTTAACAATGGAACTCAGAAATACACGGGCAGTCTTGTCCCACGTGCAACTAAGCATGGGGCGCTGCTCTAATTGGATCGCTGAAGCCAGGAAACCAGCGAATCAGTGTTGTTACTTTTGAGCGTGCAATCAACGAGCGACAGAATATAATAGGCGAGGGAATTTGAATTTTACTTCGCTCTCGATTTGTATTGTTCCTTTAGTTTTCACCCGCCCCAAATGACAATCCAATGTTGATATCGGCATCATATCATGGGATAT